TGATACCATCTTAAAATATGCACCAATTAGCTCAGCAGCTCCAATTCCACCTGGCTGTCTGGATGCCAATGAATCAATTAGCAGAAGCGTGGTGGCCTGGGACCCTGCGGGATGGATGGTGGCTGCGCTACCAAAATGACCCTCACCATCCTCTAACCAAATGGCATACGGGATCTGGGTGCTACCAGCTGGGACATATGGACAAGGGAGCTGTGGAGCAAGAAAAGGAGGTGGTGTGAAGCACCCAGCCGGCGGTGGGTCTCTGCTGGTGACCACCGAGCCCCAGGATGAGCTCATGCCTGCAGCAACAGCCATGGCCAGCCACAGCCCGCGGGGACGTGCCATCCTCGCCTTGTTTTGTCTGCCCGCCCTGGCCTGCCTTTCATTTCCCACTTCTTATCTACTCGTGCTGAGCAAACAGGACGGGGGAAGGCAGTTTCTGCTGGGTCATGGGGAAACAGCTTGGCCACGGGACCGGGGAGTCCCAGCCTGGCCCCCAGCACCAGCGCCCATCGCGTCTTTGCACCATCCCAGACACAAAATCTGGGACTTATTCTCCCATTCTCCTACATTCTGGGGACTGTCCCACATTGGGCTAAAAGCAGATTTTTACAAAACCTTTTGCAGTCCCAAAAGGGTGCAAGTGGGGGAGAGAAATCATCTGGGATGAAGCAAAACCTGAAACAGGACCTCACACTTCAGTGCCAAATCCCTTGCAAATACAGGTGGGAGGATTTTTCAAAGTGAAAGAAGTGTCATTTCCAACAATTTCATATGAAAACTGTCAAAAGAAAATACTCCTCATTTTCCAGCATTTTTCCAAGGATCCTTCCACAGAGAAATGAGCAATTCCAGTCTCACAGGCATGAATCTTAAAGGGAGGCTGTGCTCAGCTGCTGCTGGCGTTTGCTGAGCAAAGGTTAAGAGCCGGGTTCAAACGCTGCAGTTTACAGATTATAGGATTTCTTAGCAGCAAGAGGGCTGCTCTCACACTGCCCCAAAGCATGTGGCCAGGGCAGACAACCGTCACTTGAAAGGGACTATAAGGAACAGAAAAAAACCCCCAAAACAACAAAAAACAAAAGGGAGCCAGAAGAAGTGGAAATGCCCCCTCTAAGAGGGCAGAGGAGGCAGAGAGCCACTGCATGTGGCAAGCTCCACTCTGCTCCTTCCCCCTCCGTCCCGACACATCTCACGATGATATTGCAACCAGTAACATCAACTCTTCCCCAACACCGACGCCTGGGGCAGCACAAGGCTGGGCAAGAGCATCCCTCTACAAAAGCAATTCAGCCTTTGCGCTTGTGGAGTAAGACTTGAAAATGTGCCCGGGAGAGGTGCAGAGGCCAGAAAATGAATTTTTTTTTTTTTTTAAATCATCTATTATGTCTTCAGATCTTCCCCTCTACCCATGACTGTGTGACGGGGGAGACAAAGGGTCATGGTTTTAACACTGTTAATTGCCAGTTTAAGGCTGGCGAGCACCAGAAGTGTTTCTGCACCATCCACGGTCTCATGCCCCACTGCTCTCAGCCCTCCTCTGTCGTGGAAGTGTAGGCAGGGAAACTCTGGAACTATGACATGCCTTACACCCAAAGCTGTGGTTTTCACGCTGTCCACAAACCGCAAGTAAAATGCAAGCAAAAATACATGGAGAATTACACAGCCCAAGACCACAGGGCGGTGTGGGCTGGAGGAGGAGGAGAGCCTTCAGCCTTGTTTTGCAGCAACGGAAAATGAGGAGGGATGGAGGAGGAAGGAACGATGTTCTTACTGCAAGAAGGAGCTGGCCAAATCATTTAGTGCCTTTTTGTTCCAGCCTTCGCTAAAAAGCCATTTGCAATTGGCCAACCAGAGCAGCACCAGTAGCAAAGAAACTAGGATGGGACGCAGTGGGAGAGGAGCTGGGAAGCCCAAAGGGCTTCAGCTCTGAACCAGAGCCATGCTTGCACATCCCCAGGCTGCAAAACCAAAAATAACATGGGCCATCATCAAAGAGAGGAAAAGAGAAGCAATATTGCAGAGCAGGTGGCTTTACACTGGTTACTGAAGACACGGCGCAAGTAATCAGTTCTCTTTGGAAGTCTCCAGAAGATAATGAGGTGATACGTAATGGTCTGTATTAAATTGTAGGAATAAATCACACCAGCCCAACCTAATCTTGTCCTGCAACATGGCAATGGACTCCTGACATTGGGGTGATGCAGATCTCCTTGCCTTTAACAGCAAGAAGATTTCGATGCTGCTTCAAATGCAGAGTTATGGTCTGGGGGAGATGGTGCAGGAGGACCCAAAACCAATCCAAGTCCAACAGGAGCTTGAAGGGGAGCACATGTCTGAGGGGCTGCAGGATCCAGTGTGACCATTAACAACTGGGAATGAAGAGCATCAAACTGGTGGTCAATGCCGAGATGTCAGGACTGAGACTGCAGACTGGTAAAAGGGGTGGAAAACTGATCCAGGGCCATCCAGCAAGGACATGTGGATGTTGCTAGAGACGAGACAAACACACAGGACCAATAGGATGGATGGCAAGAGGAGACCATAAATCCAAAAGCGACCCATCCTTTTGGGGATGGAAGAAGATGGGGCTGTCCTTCTGCTCCTTGGGGTGCCTGGAGGCTCAGTTTTGGGCTCTGCACTTCAGGAAAGCTATGACCCAACTGAAAAGAGGCCAGAAAACAGTGGCTGTGAAGAGAAAGAGGGAAAAAATTGTCCTCCACTCCTGTGTCTGAAATGACAGAGGTCCTGAGCTGGTTTTGGGCTGGACCAGGCTGAAACGAGGAGCAGAGATGCCACAAGGTGAAAAGGAGGAGCAGAAGGACAGCAAGGTGCAGGGGAGGAACAGTTGCAGATGCTGGCACAGCCCCACCTCCCCAAAGGCTCACAGCTTTGCTGAGGTGACGGTTGCATCCAGCTCCCATGCTGGGACTTCATCACCCTCTCCCCATGGCCCACACCAGCCGTCCCTGGGGAAGTCCAGGGTGTTTGCAACAGGCAAGGAAGGCACCATGTTCCCACCAAGCAAGAGTCCCCATGTCCCCAGAGCCACCCCACCACAGTACGGCACTAGAGCTCACATCCCCTCCAGACCTTGGAGCATCTCCACCCTTCAAAGTCAAAGAGTTCGGCTCCCTTTCAGCTGCAGAGAGCCTCGTGCTCTCCCACAACCTCTAATGTCACTCACCGGCCGTGTTTTATGGCTTTTGGAGAGGGAGCGAAGGTGCCCTGCCTCAGCCTTGGTTTTTACGGCAGATGCTCCTTCTCCAAGCAGCCATGGAGGAGGACTAAAAGGTGCCGGGATTTTTGCAGCCCGTGGATGAGAGCTTGCCAGGACCTCCACGCAAAGCGGTGGACCTGGCCCACCATCTGCCTTGTTTTTCGGAGCGCTATTGATTCATTAAATATAGCAATTAAATGTGATAAATGGGCCCTAAAGTGCTATTTTGGGGGAGAGGAGGCTCCATCCATGAGTGCTGCAGCGCTGGCTCAGCACGACGCACTGTGCACACCTGGCTCTCCCCACTCCCTCTCCTTCGGTGCGAGAGTGGATGCTGCCCCACACTTAAATATTTGATGGCACGCAATTTTTTGACATATTCCCAAATCTATTCTTCTCCCCCTGCCCCTCCCACAAGCTTCCTTGATTTCTCTGGCTGCTGTTAGACACAGCAGCCCGTGCCCCCCCCCCAAGCCCTGGGCAGCCCCCCGGGATGGCAGTGAGACCAAAGCAGGCTTTGCAGCAGAGGTAATAGCTTTTATTAGCCACAATAAAGAGAAAATAAAGCCAGGAGTGCACAACAGGCCAGCGCTGCATGCCCAGCACTGGTCAGGATTTTTTCCAACCTGGTCCAATAAAAGCGATGACCTCTCCGTCCCTCAGCATCACTTCTCCCAGGAGCATGGGTCATCCCGGTGGCTGGACCCCACGGCTCCCCACAAAGCAGGGCAGGGGATGGGGACCCATGATAGGACGATAGGACCAAGTCCCAAAAAGCAAAAGCGGTGATAACTTGGAGGCAGCGGTGACAACCCTGCCTGCATCTCTCTCCAGGCTGCAACGCTCAGGAATGCTGCGGGGTGTCCGGCTGGCAGGGCAGGGTGGGGAATGGGGACCGGGGCTGGAAGGGGACGGGGACAGCCCCCAAATCCTCCCTGGGCTGGAAAGGGACCGTGACAGCCCCCATCCCCTCCTCAGGGCTGGAGGGGGGGGTCGGGAACCGCAGCAGCCCCCAACTGCCCCCATGCTGGGAAAGGACCGGGACAACCTCCAAATCATCCCGGGCTTGAAGGGGACCGGGACAGCCACAAAACGCTCTCTGGGGCTGGAAAAGGACCTGGACACCCCCCAAATCCTCTCCGGGGCAGGAGAGTGACCGGGACAGCCCTCAAGCCCCTCCCGGGCTGGATGGGGACCGCGACATCCTCTAACCCCTCCCCGGGTGGGAAGGTGACCGGTACAGCTCCAAACCTCTCTCCGGGGCTAGAAAGGGACCGCGACATCCCCTAATCCCTCTCCGGGTTGAAAGGGGACCAGGATACCCCCCTCTAAATCCTCCCGGGACTTGATGGGGACCGAGACATCCCCTAATTCCCTCCCCGGGCTGGAGGGGGGCCCCACCAGGCCCCCCCCCCCCCCAACACCTCCCACAGACACGGGGGCACCGTGGGGCTTGCGAACGGTGCCGAGCCGAGCTGAACCGAGCCGA